TAGAGAGAGAAGAGGGGAGGGAAGGGGAGGGGAGGGGGGATAGTAGAGGATAGGAAAGGCAGCAGAATACAACAGACACTAGTATGGCAATATGTAAATCAGTGGATGTGTAACTGATGTGATTCTGCAATCTGTATATGGGGTAAAAATGGGAGTTCATAACCCACTTGAAATATGATATATCAGGAACCATGTAATGTTTTGAACAATCAACAATAAAAAAAAAAAAGATGCAAAAAAAAAGAGTATCTGCCTTCTTGCATGATGCATAGGCTCTGGGTTCAATCCCCAGTACCACCATAAGAAAAAAAAGAAATAAAACATTCTACTACTCTTTCAATAAAACTACTTTAGAACTACTTACAGTTTATTCAACTATATTCAATGAGAAAACAGTTCCTAGTATAAATATCTCTTTCTTTTTTTTTTTTAAGAGATAGTGAGAAAGAGAGAGAATTTTTAATATTTATTTTTTAGTTCTCGGCGGACACAACATCTTTGTTTGTATGTGGTGCTGAGGCTCAAACCTGGGCCGCATGCATGCCAGGCGAGCGCGCTACTGCTTGAGCCACATCCCCAGCCCTGTAAATATCTCTTTCTAATAGAACTAAATCTGCAGCTCCCTGATAGCTCTCATTAAATAGCAAGACAACTTGCAAGTAAAAGCATCTGGTATGTTGCAATATATTAAGTTCTCATCTCTGCATTTAGAATTCCTTATTTTTAGAAAATAGTATATTGAAATTATATCTGGTTATCTATGAATAAAACAAATCATTAACATGAGTTACTTACAAACAATACAACTTACTGTGGGTCACTGAGTGTATCAGGTGTTTCTTTTAGAAGATGGTCTTGCAGCACCTAAAGATGGGAGAAAAATAACAGAGTCTTTAAGATTTTATTAAACCATCAAGGATGAACAGAGAGAATATAGATAAGTTTATTTTTTAAAATCCCATAAACCTCATCTTACCTAAGCAAAATCAAGGAGTAAAACTAAAAGGTCTGAATTTTACTCACTGCCCTTTTCCTATCAATTTCCAAGGCTGACAGCTGCTGGGGTAAGAAGGACAAGGTACTCCTTTTCTATACCTCCAGTTCCCATCAAGAGAAATTTTCCATTAAATATTTTTGGTCACTCGTTCCTTTATTTCTCTTGTACACAGCAATGCAATGTAATAATGAATTAGTAAATCTCAGAAAGAAATTAGGCTCTACTTTCCTCTTCCTTCCAGGAATCTCCTGGCCCAGAGAGAACACACATTGTGCTCTACTTTATCTAATAGGAAGGTCTAAGATTTTCAAATGTTGGGTAAGTCTGCCTACTTCTAGTGTGCAGTACCAGGGAATCCACTGTTCAAGTATCAACTTTTTCAGCAGTAACAACACCTAACATTTATTGAGCTTTTCCACATGCCAGGTATTGCTTTAGGTATATTTTGTGCATAAACAAAATCACTCCTCATAACAACTCCATGAAATACAATTCCTGTTTTACAGATGAGGATAGGGAAGCACAGAACTTACCCAAGGTCACACGCCTAAATAATGGCAAAACGGCAAAACCCAATGGTATGACTCAGGGTTAGTAGTAGATAGTGTGTTGTATTTTTTATAATGCCCCCCCCCCATATTTTGTTTGGTACTAGGGATTGAACTCAGGAGCATTTTAACACTGAGCTACATTCCCAGCCCCAATTTGTTTTTGGTTTTGTTTTTTTCTTTTTAGTAACTTGCTAAGTTCCTTAGAGCCTTGCTAAATTGCTGAAGCTGGTCTAGAGCTAGTGATGCTCCTGCCTTGTCTTCCTGGATCCCTACAATTACAGGCTTTCAACATCACTTCCAACTATAATGCTGACATTTTGATCTTCCTTTTCCTAATACCTCTATAATAAATTGGCTTTGAACTTGGGAAAGTTATAACCCAATAGTTATAAAGAACTATGGCAGAGACAAATAACAGGAAAATAAAATGGAGAAAATAACCCACATGTGATCAAGTATCTACCCACAACAAAGCCAAATCAAAAATTTTTAGAAAGGCCTATGAATGGCCAAATCAGTTGTCTTTAAAACCATTTTTGCTGGGCACAGTGGCACACGCCTGTAATCCCAGCAGCTTGGGATGCTGAGACAAAAGAATCACAAGTTCAAAGCCAGCCTCAGCAATGAAGAGACACTAAGAAATTCAGTTAGACCCGTCTCTAAATAAAATACAAAATAGGGCTGGGGATGTGGCTCAGTGGTAGAGTATCCCTGAGTTCACTCCCTGGTCTCCCCACCACCCCCTACCAAAAAAAAAAAAAAAAATTTTCTCCAGACACAGTAGTATACACATATAATTCTAGCTACTCAGAAGGCTGAAGAGGGAGGATTCCAAGTTGGAGGCCAGCCTAAGGTTCAAAATAAAAAAGACCTAGGATATAGCTCAGTTGTGAAGCATCCCCAGCACCAAACCAAAACACAAATGTTTTTCCTGAAATTCTTTTTTTTTTTTAAAGAGAGAGTGAGAGAGGAGAGAAGAAAGGAGAGAGAGAGAGAATTTTTTATATTTATTTTCTAGTTCTCGGCAGACACAACATCTTTGTTGGTATGTGGTGCTGAGGATCGAACCCGGGCCGCACACATGCCAGGCAAGCGCGCTACCGCCTGAGCCACATCCCCAGCCCATCCTGAAATTCTTAAAGAGTCTAAATCCATGACACCTCATGCTCATAACATTGATCATTTGTATTTTAAATGGAGCAATGGAAGGATTAGGACTCCTTTTGAAAATATGGTTGAAGATATAAATCCTCACCCTAGGGGGGGAAAAAAAAACCCTCAATTAAAGCTATGTCCAAGAAAACAGTATCAGAACAGAATTAAGTCCGAAGACATCCAGCAGGTGGAAAGAAATCCCCATACCCTTTGAGGTCATGAAAGTCTTCTGTGCTGACTAAGATCAAAGTAGAGGATAAAACTTTTATCCTGGCCAGGCTTGATAGCACACGCCTATAATCCCAGGGCTCAGGAGGCTAAGGCAGGAGGATTGTGAGTTCAAAGCCAGCCTCAGAAATTTAGCAAGGTCCTAAGAAATTCAGCAAGACTCTGTCTCAAACTAAAATACAAAAAGAGCAGGGGATGTGGCTCAGTGGTTAAGGGCACTTGGGTTCAATCTCTGGTACCAAAAAAAAAAAAAAAAAACCTTTTTTCCTGACACACCTACGATGGCAGGTAAGAGAAATGTCATTGTAACAGATACCTTAAATGCTTAAGAAAAAAATAGAAAAAGTTTCCAAAAACTTACAATGGTAATTTCATCCTTACAAAATGCTATGGCTTCAGGCTGCTTGCTTGGAGGGAAAGCTGCTTCAAATGCGTCTTTTGCTGCACATGCGGCTGGTGTATATGTATCACACTGAGCCATTAACCAATATCCCATTACACTTTTTAAGTAGGGAGCCAAGTGTTTCTTTACTTTTAGGATAAGTTTTTCAAAAGCTTGCTGTGTGGCTTCTCGAACCCGGCGGTCATGATCCTATTGAAAAAACATGTCATTTTAAAATAAATACAAATACAGACATTTCTATTTAAGCTACAATGACCCATTATTAAGAATTCACCTGTGTACAGAGCCACACTAAAATCAATTTTTTGAGGGTATAGCTCAGTGGAAAAATACGTTTTGTATACATACAGCCCTAGGTTTGATACCCAGAATAACAACAGAGAAATTATTTTGAAATGTTGAGAACTTGAGACTTATTATATCAGAAATTATGTAAAATAATTAATGTTTCCTGTTTCCCCTTCCCCAGTAAGATTAAGATTGTATTCAAGACAGATTCAAAGCTGAGCACTGATCATGTAATTCATTCTCCTTCTTTGGCAGCAAATATACAAGGAAATAAAATAACTGCCAAAATTTATTACAACTGCAAAGTATCTGTGTCATTCTCTAGTAATGATCTAATTTCTGAAAATACAGACTCTAAACACTCTTTCAAACCAACATGATTTAAACTGGATAACAATCCTGAGATAAGATTTCATAACTCTCACCAATAATGGATCACTTAAATGACAGTCACCATGATTTCACCTAAATATATGTGTGTGTGTGTCACACACACATACACAACAAAATTAAACTAGTAAATTCATAATACTTACAAGTGAAATTTTACAGAAAATTCTTGGCCAATATGGAAGAACTCCTTTTACAATTTCTGTCTCTCTCTCTGTACACATGGTTCCAAATTCCTGCATGGCCTAAAAGTAATTTATTGACATCATTAAGTACTAACAACTGTAATATTGGCTACTGATTATTCTGTTCTGAAGCTCAGTCTATTTTATGTAATGAGAGAAGATATTATTTCTGTGTATGTCATAGGGACTAATATACACAGTAGTTTCAGTCTATAAAAGTAGAAATTATTCAGCTGCTTTTTTTATTTTTTTTTTGTTTTTTTATTCAGCTGCTTTTTAAAGAAATTAATGTACAAACAAAAAAAATTTTAAATCACAGTGCTGAGCTGGACACAATGATACCTCTGTCTATATCCCAGCTACTCAAAAGGGTTGAGGCAGAAGGATCATTTGAGACCAGAAGCTCTAGATTAGTCTAGGCAATATAGTAAGACTCCATTTTTAAATAAAAGATAAAATTACATTCCTTAATAGTAAAAAACATATAGTCAAAATTCTAAAAATTTAAAATGTTTCAGAGCAACAAACTAATTTATAAGCCAGAAAGTGTAACTAAACTTAAAACAATATGTCAGAAAAAAGTATATGACTATAAAAGAATTAATAACAATTTATTTTTCTTTGCACTGGATATGCCCATAACATTTGTTTTTTTTTTGTTTTTTTTTTTTAAAAAAGGTGTTTTTTGTTTATTTTATGAAAACAAGAAAACTTGCTTTTAATTTTGTTGTGACGTCTTTCTTAGAAAGTTTCCGAAGCACCATTCGGAAATCAGAATCTACAAGACTGTCTATTTCTTCAGCTCCTTGAATAGCAGGAACATAGCCTAGGTCACTCTGAGATGTTCCAAAACCAATAAATCCAGGCACTGTTCCCTGTTCTTTGGCAAGGAGTTCTGCAGCTCGGCCACTGTTTGAAGGCTAATAAGAAAATAGGAAAAAAAGAAGTCAGATTCCAAGAAGAATTCAAATTTTAATTTTAATTACATAATTCCTTGACAACTCTCATTAGAACAAATTTTCGTGAATAATTTTTTTCCTAGTCTAAGATTTCATCTATTGCAAAGTTTCCCAAAGATGACTATTTCTGTCACCAAAAACTTATCAAGAGCTGGGGATGTGGCTCAAGTAGTAGCATGCTTGTCTGGCATGCGTGCGGCCCGGGTTCAATCCTCAGCATCACATACAAACAAAGATGTTGTGTCCGCCGAAAACTAAAAAATAAATATAAAAATTCTCTCTTAAAAAAAAAAAAAAAGAACTTATCAATAATGATCCTACAAGCTACCCACTATTTCCTGGTTTCAATGTTTTTGAACATTGAACCATGTTTTTGAAACCGTGGATACAATCCATTAGTGGCTTATGGTATCAACATAATGGGTCATTTGAGAATTTTAAAGAATAGAATAAAATTTTAAAAACCAGAATGCATCACGTGTGGTAAAATTTTCATAAATGTTATTTTGTCAAGTTTTTTTGTCAGATTTTCACATAAATAGCCCTTATTCACATATATGTGCATTTTATAATGATATAAAATTAAATGATAAATGGGTCTGATCTTTTTCATTTATCTATTCATTCAAAAGGTATGTATTTATTTATCTAATTTCAGTACTGGGGATAGAATCCAGGGGTGCTTAGCCACTGAGCCACATCCCCAGCCCTTTATTTATTTATTTGTTTGTTTGTTTGTTTGTTTTCAGTGGACACAACATCTTTATTTTTTTATTTTTTTATGTGGTGCTGAGGATCGAACCCAGTGGCCAACGCATGTCAGGCGAGTCCGATACCGCTTGAGCCACATCCCTAGCCCTCTTTTTATTTATTTTGAGACAAAGTCTCATTAAATTGCTTAGGTCCTCACTAAATTGCTAAGGATGGCCTTAAACTTGAGATCTTCCTGCCTCAGCCTGGCATGCTACTGGGAGTACAGGCATGTGCCACTGTGTCTAGCCCAATAGAGATTTATTGAGCAATCACCATGGGCTAGATCTAATGACAGCTGCTTCTAGATAGAGTCCCTCAAGAGTAGATACATTTATTTCCACACACTCAACACCTAACCTCTTTGGGATAATATTACATTGTTATGGATACAAAGATCAATGCAATGGTCAAAATATAAAATATTCTCTTCTGTTTGAACCATGGTCAGGGATTTGACTGATAAACAATATAGTATTCCCTTAGTACTAAAAGTTAAACAGTTGTTATAGAAAAAGAAAATATTTGAACTATTTAAAAGAAAGTAACTTATTCATTATCATTTCAGCGGAAAATGCCTCAATTCAACCACCATGATGACATTACACTGGAATTATGACATATATATTTCTATATTTCCTACTTCTCTATAGGGATATTTGCAAAGGGATATCCAAATGCGTGACACAAACAACTCGTATCTAGCAAAATCATGTTTGGAAAGCTTACTTGACAAGGAATAATCTGGCCTACTTTCTAATCTAAACTGAGTAATCAGAAATAAAAATCATGGCCTGAATAACATTTTTTTTTCCAAACTGCAGCATTTAAGACTAATTCAACAAAAAAATCTCTATATTTGAAGCTTTATTAAAATGAACTAATATTATTCACTTCAGTTTTCTCAATATTGGTACATGAATAAAGAGTACAAAGGTAATTAATGAATTATAATAAAATGCTGAAAACTAAATACAATGACAATAGGCTATCAGAATGTTACTTATAATTTCATTTGTAAACAGTTTTTCATTATAAAACAATAAGACTAATTGCCACTGAAGGAGTGACGGCTACATTCCAAACTAACTTGAAATACCAAAGCTGACAACAATTACTAGGGTAGAATAAACAGTATCATATTTTCAATTTCCAATTTAAAAGTAACCATTATTTTTTTAAAGTTACTAATTGTATGTTTTACTCATGTCTACTTTGAATTTTTTTTGAGAGAGAGGAGAGAGAGAGAATTTTAATATTTTTTTTCTTTTTTTTTTCAGTTTTCGGCGGACACAACATCTTTGTTGGTATGTGGTGCTGAGGATCGAACCCTGGCCGCACGCATGCCAGGCGAGTGCGCTACCGCTTGAGCCACATCCCCAGCCCCTCTATTTTGAATTTAAAATACAATTGCAACAATAATTTTTGTGGGTTAGATGCTTATACACATACTTTAATCAAAATTAAGAACCTTGATTCTATTTTTGGCAATTAATTTCTCTTATCCTGTCTCTACTTCTGTCTACATTCTTTTGTGCCTGGCTTCTGCAGGTATTTGAGGTAACAACCCTTAGTCTAGGTTTAAGGACCAAACTAAAGAAGTCTTACAAGATCTTTCACACTGGTGGCAATGTCACATGACTGTGATCCCAGCATCTGGGGAGACTGAGGCACGAGAATTGTAAATTTAAAGCCAGCCTCAGCGACTTAGCAAAGGCCTAAGCAACTTAGTTTGACCCTGTCTTTAAATAAAAAATTTTAAAGGAATGTGGCACAGTGACTAAGCACCCTGGGTTCAAACCCCAATAGGAAAAAAAAAAAAGTCTTTCATGAGCTGTTCATATGTCAACTTTTCCAAATCTTTTCTCCTCTCTATCCAAACCTACTTTCTCTTAATTTTGCTGCCCTTGTCCATGTTCCAGTTCCAAATTGAATTCAAATTCCCTGAATATGTCACATGCCCTTTGCCCTTTCAAAATTCAATCTTTATATAAAATCCTTTCTCCAACTGAAAACTCTTCCTTTTCAATGCCTGTCAAACTTCTACTCATCCTTCAAAACACTCATATTTATAACATTTATCTCACTCAGATCAGTCACCATACTTTTCTGTTCTCCCATGCTTTCTGCTTATACTGTATTACAATTATTTAATACATTATGACATTGGTTATGATCTATCGCTATCTTCAAACCAATAGTTCAAGAACAGCAGACATTTTTCTATCATCTTTGCATAAAGGGCATGCAATACTCAATTTTCTGTTAAATGAATGTCACTCTAAAGTTCAATTCTAAACTCTGACAATTCCTGGCTTCATGAGCTTAGGCAAGTTAATGTCTCTAAACCTCAGTTTAGAGACAAGAGTAATTAACCCATTCCTTGAGTCCCTGTCAACATCACTTTTTTAATATAGATAGATTTATTTTAATTGTAGATGGACACAATACATTTATTTTATTTTTATGTATTTTTAATATAGATAGATATTACTATGATTTTAGTTGTAGATGGACACAATACCTTTATTTTATTTTTAAGTAATGCTGAGGATCAAACCCAATACCTCATGCGTGCCAGGTGAGTGCTGTACCACGGAGCCATAGCCCTAGCCCCAGCCCCAAACTTAAGTTTTTTAAACTTATTATTTAAACTTATTATCTTATTTAAACTTATTATTATTATCCAATAATAAGAGATTTCAGCAAGTAATGTCAAAGGATGCTAAAATCATTAACGAAAGTTTGTGGGAGAATTCAGTCTCAGATTACCACTCTTCATATTTGTTTTTAGCCAACGGGAAAAGATAACTTTATTTTTTAATGGAGTTAAAAATGGATCAATCAGCATTTTTTAAAAATTTTTTACCTTTATTTGATATATTTATGTTTATGTGGTGCTGAGGATCAAACCTAGGGCCTCGAACGTGCTAGGCAAGTGCTCTACCAGAGCCACAACCCCAGCCCTGGAAAAAGAGAACTTTATAGTGGAGGTTACACCTTAACCTAGTGATTAAACAAGTACCATTAATAATGGGACAAACAAAAGTCATGTGCCCTAGTGAGATGCACTGAAAAAGATGTATCAACTTTGAAGCATTTCTGTCAAAAACTGTTTCAAATCATATGGAAACCATTAGAAAATCTAAATTAAACAAAACATTCACCCAGACTCTTGCAAGTTCTGAATGTTCCCCCAGTAGCAGGGGAAGGCAGGGAACCACTGGTAAAACTCTCTAGATCAAGAGAACATGGTTTTCAAATGACTTATCTTTTAAACAAGAAAATAAAAAGATTATAGAGAACACTACTGAGATGAGTACAGAATGTAAATACATGGCCAATTCTTAGAGTGTTATACCAAAATTAAAATTTCTGCATGTTATAATTGCTCTCAATTATGAAGAAAGGCATTGTTTTTAGAAAATACATCCTAAAGTACTTAGGAGTTAAAGAACCCAATTTTGAAATGATGGTGGAATGGGATGATCATTATTATCCAAAGTACACGTATGAAGACACAAATTGGTGTGACTATACTTTGTATACAACCAGAGATATGTGCTCTATATGTGTAATAAGAATTGTAATGCATTCCACTGTCATATATAAATCAATAAAAAAGGAACCAATTTCTGCAACTAACTCTCCTAAGGTTCAGCAAAATACATAAATTGAGACTAAAAGCAAATGTGACCAAATGCTAACAATTGGTGAATCCAGGTAAAACACATACAGATTGTTGTTCTAATATTCTTGCAACCTTTGCTCATATTGAGAACTTTTCAAAAATATTGACAAATGTTTTACAAGATAAATCATTAAGTGAAAATCCAAGTAAAGTACTTAGCACAGTACTTAAAGTAAGTTACTACAATTGTTGATATTATCTTCCAAAACAGACTTAAGTGACAGATCTAAATAAATACAACTTCAACATCAAAATTAACTGAATCCAAACAGAAGAAGGGCCTTTCCATACAACTGGACATAACACATTGTGCATCATAAATTGTAACATTGTTACATCCCTAAGGATAAGAGCAACAGAAGTAGCATATAAAAACACTTGCCTTCAAAATATTTACATTCTAGTGGGCTGGGGTTGTGGCTCAGTGGTAGAGCGCTTGCCTCACGTGTGTGAGGCACTGGGTTAGAATCTCACCACCCCATAGGGAAATAAGTGAATAAAGTAAAAGTCCATCAACAAGTAAAAAGAACTATTTTTACATTCCAGTGAAGTAAGTCAGTAAATTACGTAGTATGTTAAAAGTCATACATCCAGAGTAAACGTAGGAAAGAAAACAGGGAATAGGGGACAGCATTTAGATTTAAAATAGGTCGACCACGGGAGATTTCATTGACATCACTGAAATGTCTAGAGGAAAATCTGGAGCCACCTAACAGAAGAGCACTAGGAACCTGCCAGGCAAGGCCAAGGCACAGTGAGGTCAGCGCAGCCAGATGAAGTGAGCTAAGAGGAGGGAGTTGGGGATGAGGCTGGATGGGAAAGAAGCAACAGAAAGCGGAGAAAGCCGCCCATAAACCATGTATACCACCTAAGGCCACTCACCTTTATCCGGAGGCACGAGCGGAGCCACTTCAGGCTTCTGAGCAAAGGAAGGACATGGCCCGAGGTATCTCGCACGCCGAGCTCAAGGTAATTTCCTCCCACCCAACTCTACCTCCCAGCCCCCAGCCCCGCCGCCCGATACCTCGGCCAGGTAACCTTCCAGTTGAAGCTGACACTGAACCATTTCTCAGTGAAAACCGTGCACGCTCTAGCATCGAACATCTTTTCTCTCACGATTGCCCAATCTGCTCAGAGACAGCCCATCCCGCCCTCAGGGACTCACAACAGAGAGGTCACACTCGACACGGAAACACACGCCTCCCCACAGCCACGCTCCAGACACCCTCAGGCTACGCGCCCGGCGGAGCCACAGGCGGCGAGGCGCAGCCTCCCCAGTCGGCCAGGCCAACCCGCACTCACCCTCAGATTCCCCTTGGTCCGCTGCTTGTTCTTCCCGCCCATGATCGCTGTAGCAGCCGCACTCTCAATCTGCAGCCCCGAGGTTGACACGGCCGGGCCACAACTTCCGGTCTCTTGTGCCGGAAGGGGGCCTAGAGTAACAACTTCCCCCGACCCTCCCCTTCCGCCTCCCACCCCGCCCTCCTGCCGCCCCACTTCCGCTCCCGACTCCAGCTGAGTTTCTGACTGTCGGTTGCCGGGGTCGCCACAATTAAAGTCACGCCTGCTTGCGTTTCGTCACTACTGGCCAATAGGAAGCCAAGCTTTGGACCCGTGGCGCCAAATCATAAGGGTATCAGTAAAATAATATAGTAGTACAACTGTAAGGCACCGATTTAAAAATATGGAAGAAATGATATTGGAGTGGCTGTGCAAAGCTAGGAAGGTGCTAGGTTTTTGAAGTGATGCAATCACTGGCAACACCTGTGTGTTTCAACGCTCAAGCCCACCTTGGATCTAGTGAACCAGATTTGAATTTTAACAAGTTTCCCATTTCTTGTAAAAATTCGAGTACTGGTCTAGACGATATTCTTCCTTTTTTCCATATTGAAAATGTTAGGTGCAGTTTTTAGAAAAGAAGGTAGCACGGCAGTCTCCACTAATGTATGATATGTACAGGTCCTGTGACGTACTGCTTTGCTTCTCAGAATCACATAAGAAAATCATAAACACTTGTGTGGTAGATGTTGCCTGTCTTGTCCACACACTCACCTTTCTACTTAATCATGACAGGGCTCTGCAAACTGTTTCTCTTTTTATTCATCTATCTTCCCGTTAGAATCCCTTAAGAGGGTCACTGGAGAAAGACAGGAAGACAAGAGGAAGGAGAAGACCTTGCTCCATTGTTAGCATCATTCTGAGAAACTGATGTGACTCTATTTTTGAGAAACAAGCCTCTGTCTCAGAGCAGGGCCTGTCCAAAGGGGGGAGTGGTGACCCTTGTCCTTGGAAAACCCGTTTTTTAGGCACATAGCTATCCTGCTGAGTCATTTTGGCACCAGACTCCAGATGTCCTTGACTCAGCAAATGCAAGTTCCTAAAAAGACCAAAAGAATGCTTGAGGCCTAATTCGGACCAGGGAAAATATCTAAAATGTCAGGTGACCCTCCCAGAGTATGATTGATAACATGATTAAGCAAACCTGCAAGTTTAGCATATATACTCTTGCAACCCCTCACAGCCTAAACCAATCAGTCAAAAGGAATCCACCACTTGTTCCCTTACCCGACTTGTTCCCACCAATGAATGTGCTAATCAATGTTAAGAGTTGTTTGATTTTCCCGTGGTATGAAATGATTTGCTGTGTGATGTTGTGACCCATCGAGTACCCCCAAAAAACCTAGAAATCCTCACTGAACTAAGGGCCAGGACTCACTCCTTGGTACCACTGCATCAGAAATGGTTGAATTGAGGCTGGAGCTTGCAATAAAGACTCTTTGTGTGATTGCATTGGATTCAGCTCCTGGAGGTCTATTGGGTCCCACGAATCTGGCATTACAATTCCAATAACAGCCCTTTACCCTAGGAGCAGCATTTGCTTTAGCCAGCAGTAGATTTCTCCAACAATCTTAGAATGGACTTTATTGCCCTCCTCAAAGGGACCAGTGAGCAATCAGGTAGCACTGTCTTCAAAGGTCTTAGTACTATTTCATAGAGCCCCTCTCCTAAACTCAAAAGAGCCAATAGTGCCCCCTTCTTGGGTCTTCAAAGCCCGACCATACGGTTTTATTTGAGTGAATAAAGCATTGAAAAAGGTAGAAGAGCTTGGACACTATTTCTCTTTCTTGATTGCATGAATTGCACTTTTACCCATGGAGACAGTGGGATAGTAGGGTAGTTCCTGGGGTCCATTGTATTGAAGTCAGCTCATCCACTAGATTTGGGTGTCAGCTGCCAGTCAGATATAAATTCCTTTTGTGTTCCTCCACTATGGCTGAGGCCTGGTGTTTTAAATGACAAAAGCTTTAATTTTACCCCTACAAGGTGGGTGGAAGAAGAGCTTCAGATAGGAGAAATATCCTTGGACTTATTCTCCATATCGTCCACTCACTAAACTACCTAGAAAGGCCTTGAATTTTCTATCCTGACACAATCTCCAGAGTTGCTGAGATTACAGGCCTGCATCACCATACCTGGCTTGAATTTGTTTACAATCACACAATTAATACATGAATATATTCTCCTTATGACTCAGTGATAGAGCACATGCCTAACAAGTGTGAGGCACTGGGTTCAATTCTCAGCACCACATATAAATAAATAAATAAATAAAATAAAAGTCCATTAACAACTAAGAAAATAAGAAGACTTGAATAGCATTAAAAAAAAAAGATTTGGTATTTGGTCTTTCCAAACTAATTCCAAATATCCTTGTTGGTCTTTTTTAAGTCCTAAATAAGTATGTGGAATAGAGGTCACTTTCCTGACCTCTTAGTGATTCAAGTCGTCATCTTTCGTATCTTTTTTTTCCATTCTTCTTCATCAACCACCATGGTTTTATCCTTATTTTTTTTATTTGTTCAACTTAGTTGTACATGACAGAAGAATGCATTTCAAATCAATGTACATAAATGGAGAAAAATATTTCAATTTTCTGGTTGTACACAATATAGAGTCTCACTATCATACAATCATTCATGTACGTAGAGTAATGATGTCCATCTCATTCCACCACCTATCCTGCCCCTATGACCCCTCCCCTCTACATCCTTCCTTTTTCCCATTCCAAAGTTTATCCTTATATTAATACATAAATTTCTCTAGCCCCAATTTCACCCTGCTCTTGGACTATAATTTCTTCTTTTCAAATTCCTTATTTAACCATTTCCATATAGACATTATTCAAACCAACCTTGACCTTGCATTAGTTCTTACAATTTTCCTATAACTCTAAAGACTCTATTTATTTCCTTCTTTACTTACCTTGTTATGGTTTGGATCTTAAACCTCCCCCAATAGCTCATGTTTTGAAGACTGGTCCCAAGCTGATGGCACTATGGCGAAATGGTAGAATCTTTAGAAGGTGGGGGCCCAATGGAGGGAAGTTAGTTGACTGGAAGCATGCTCTTGGTGGGCATACTGGGCTCACTCTTTCCTCTTTTGGCTTCATGAAGTAAGCTAGTTTGCTCCATCATGTCCTCTCCACCATGATGGTCTGCCTAACTGAGGGCCCAAAGCAAGGGAGCCAGGCAACCATGGACTGAAGCCTTTAAAACTATGAGCCAAGGGCTGGGGATGTGGCTCATGCAGTAGCACGCTCGCCTGGCATGCGTGCGGCCCGGGTTCGATCCTCAGCACCACATACAAACAAAAATGTTGTGTCTAGTAAAATTCTCTCTCTCTCTCTCTCTCTCTCTCTCTCTTTAAAAATAAAATAAAATAAAACTATGAGCCAAAATAGATATTATCTTCTTTTTGGTTGATTATCTCAGGCATAGAAATTTTGATAGAAAGCTAACAAAATTGATTAAATTAGATTTTGTGATCCTTCAAATCAATTACTCCTAACAATACCATGAATAAGAGAGTCCACCTGTTTGTAGCCTGTTCATTTGGGAAAACCAAACACTACACAAAGCCAATTATCTTTTATCAGGTTCTTTATCAATGAAGTTGAACCCTAGCTAAAAAAGCAATTTAGTCAATAGAAGTTTTGAATTCAGATCCCAAGACTCATTTGTGTCTTCAATACATGTCAAAAATTGTAGCCTATTGCTCTAATTTTTAGGACTTCTAACAATTATTTTACCACTTCCTCAAAATTCTGACTTTCCTATCTACTTCCTAGACTTTAGCAGATGACCTTCACTCCAGTTATATAGTGTAAGGAAACTATGAGATGATGTTCCATGTTTTTCCAACAGTGAACATAAATAGACCTGATATTCAATAAGTATGCACTGTTCAGCTACTTTGCAGTTAGAATAGAAAGATACTCCTATATCAGTTAATATCCAATGGCATCCCTAATCCCTCTAAAGTTTTCCTCCACTGCCCTTACCACTTTCCTATGACTTCTCTGACCTCCCCTGTGATTTATCACTAAAGTCAATTGCTAGCTCATCAGGGGACTTCTAAAATCATGTGAATATTTCAATGTGTCTATTCCAAAGGATGGTTATCATGTAATAGTAATTGTCAAATTTACTAAATATCATCTGCATCCACAAAACTTTCTTCCATCTTCAATCATAATTCTTATACAATTTTGCTAAAAAGGAAATATTAAAGATACTTGGACAAAAATGTGGGAAAAATGAACATCCAAGCCTAGTTATTGCAGCACTGTTTCTAGGTAAAAATAGTAGAATAACATAAATCTTTTGGTTGTACTGGGGATTGAATTCAGGACCTCATACATGGTAAGTAAGCACTTGTGTCATTAATACATACCCACCTGAAACAACACAAGTATTTATTAATTAAATACCATCTGAGAAAATATGATATCTCACGTAATGAAATATGTGAATATGAAGTTTTTTCGTGTATTTATACATATAGCATAATATATAATATTTGTTAATTGGCTTGCAAGGAAAGAAAGAGAGGAATATGTCCACATACTGCTATGGAGTGATCCTCATATTATTAAGTGAAAATAGAGAACAATGTGTATATAACTCTTTTATTTAAGAAAGAATAAAAGGGAAATATATTCATAAATTGTACACTTGAATGTGTGTGTGTGTGTGTGTATGTGTGTGTGTAACCTGAATTATGAGTCCTGAACTGTTCTGTGACAGAGGTAATACCCCTCTGGAGAACGCTCAATGAAGGTGCTGATCAAGATAGCCCAGTTGCTATGGTGATGTTCTATT